ATTTAAAGATAATTACCATAAGAAGAAAAACAGGCTATTGAGCTTCTAAACCATTAGAGAGAAAGGAAAAAAGGAAGAATGGAAACTTGACATAGTCTATAAAAGACAAGAAAAGAACAAAGAAATATTCTGAGTACCACAAAAGCTTATAAATTCAAAGAAAGGATGTGATCTGAGCTGTCCAATATGATAGCCACTACCCACACTGAGCTATTTAAAATTAAAATTAATTAAAATTTAAAATTCAGTTCCTTAGTCACTGTACTGAACATTTCCATCATTGTAGAATGTTCTAGCAGACAACACTAATAGTGAAAAATACGAGGTCCATATAAAGTATGATACTATATTTATGTTAAATATACACTTTATACATATATTAAAATGTGAGTTGATTAAACTGTCAATAGATGTATCTCTAGGAAATAAGATGACCAGGGTACTTTCACATTCTATATATGAATTTTTTTTTTATTGGGGAATTGGGTGAGGAGAACAGACAAGTTGCTGTCCTTTTGTTCTTCAGTCTAGTTGTGGAGGACATCATTTCACTGGCCCATGCTGGTATTATCACTGCACTCTTCCCAGGTGAGGCAGTCGCTCACCAGCCTATGGACAGCCGCTCATGCCAGCTGCCAGCCACTCACAGTAGTTCATGGCAGCCCACTGCAGCCTACTCCGTCACAGGCGACTTAAGGCAGCCCAGCTCCAGGTCGAGCTGCTGTTCACCATCTTAGCTATAGAGTGCGCAGCGTCACTGGCCCTAATGAGGGATCCAAACCGGGGTCCTGCTGCTCAGAGCTGGCATCCCAAGCCAACTCTTAACCAACGCACCACTCAGCAGGCCTTTGAATTTTTAATAAGCATATTTTACTTTTATAATGAGTAAAAGTCATTAACATATTTTCAGATGGAATAACAACAAACCAATCAACCAACCTTTCTTGAACTTGGTGCAGAATTTGGCTCCAATCTCTAAGTTAACCAAGTGACTGTGTTTAACTCCTATGTGTTTACTGTGTACACGTGTGTTAATAAATAACCTCAAAATGGCACAGTATGCGGCCTATAGCTAGAAATTTTCTATAGTTCAGCCAAGCTCTGGAAAAGGTTTGTTCTGGGCCCAAGGGTGATATCACCATTTCAGATACAAGTCTGAGCAGACATTTGATAATTTCAGACTATATTTCTTAAGTTGAGGAGGTTCCTTGGGCAAAGGCTGTTAACACACCTTTCTATTTTGATCTATACAGTTGATAACAGATCAAGTTTCAGAAAGAGTAGCTTTGAATTATCCCTTAAATTTTCCATCAGAAGAAAAACCTATTGAGTTGTAGTCATTGTTTGCGTCTTCCCATTGATTTACATAGTTGACTAAGGAGAACATTCCCACAGCCAATCTCAACAATACACAGATAAAGTCAGAAATAACAACATATTGCACAGAGAATAACTTCAGATTCATTTTTCCTAAACTGGGGGTGGGAGAAGAGAGGTTATGTTTTTTGGTAAAAGAATTCCAAAGTTTTAATCTTTGCTAAATACTAGATCTTTAATTTTTCTAAAAAAAAAAAAAGTATTAAAATGGTATGGGAATAACCCTCAAATACTAAAACTATTTCATATCTACCCCAGGGAATAATTTAGTCATGTATCTGCCAACAAAGGCACATTCATATATGCTTATTTTATTCACTATATAAATATCCTTGGCAGCTGCCTCCTATTCCACCATAGTGAATATTAAAGAAAAAGCTCTCTTCATGGAAAGGAGATGAAAAACATCAATTTGTCCAGGAAACATGCATTCTGAAAGCCAATGCTGCTACAGCAAAAAGAGAGATTTTATTTTGTTGCCACCTTAAATGCTAATTTTTATTTGGGGTCAACTGTGACCCTGTTTCCACTGGGAGGTGACTATGCTTAGTGTGGGGTGGTAGGCTGAGTAAGAGATGACCATGGCCCAGAGTATTTTACAAATGGAGAAGATGCCAATCAATGGTGCAAGGACAAGAAGATAGCTGGAAGTTAACTTTTATCTATGTAGGAAGTCTTTACTAAGAAACTAGCAGTATAAACAAGATTACCTTAGAACTTTCAATGTGCTTGAAAATTTTCAAGTTCCTTCATGCTCTTTACAAAGACCTACTTACCTCCCCTAATTGTAAATCACTTGTTAAAGCAAGTTACTTAAAAGATCTTTCTAGGTAATTCTGTTAGTCTAGCACTATTTGCTGCATATTGTTTGAAGATAATAAAAGCACACTTCTTTGAACACAAGCTAACTAATTAAAAGGGACAACCCCTCCTCTCCCCATGTTTTTTGGAATTTCATGGAATTTTTATAGTGGTATGCCATTTTAATACTTGGGTGGACTAAAAAGCTAAACAGAAAGCACATTTTCCTTGAAAAATAAAATATAAAGAAAGATGCAAGTATTTTATAATACATAAGCCACTGCTTTTAATTGAACATAAATTATATTTCATTCATGGACTTCTGTCATTATCCATAGAAAATACTCGTTGTAGTTCATAAGGAAAATTCTATGAAAATTAAAGAAAATCATACACAGTAATATTTATATTGGGGGGACAAAACAATCTAATTTGGTATTTTCCTTTTTATCCAAGGCTCTAGTTTTAGCTTAATATGTCTGAAACAACTATTAAATACATTATATTCAATTGTGGGAGTAAATTAATTGTTTCAGGTCACAAGGGTACTATCTAGTAAATTACTGCATTGGTCCATACCTAGTAGCCTCAAAGTGATAATTGACCTTTAAAAGGTAAAGCATTTTAGGTAATCATTCCTCCAAAGGCTCTTTGTCACTTAATTTAAATTGGTGGAGAATGAAGAAGCCAAGCATAAAAAAGGGAAATCTTTCAAATTTTTATATTTACAAATGTGAGCTACTTAAGAAAAAAAATCTAGGTTTTTACTGAGCCATATCATCAGTACATGAGCAAGAAAAAAAACAACCACACACAAATAATCTCCCAGATTTGGCACATATTATCTAAATTCAAATCACAAAAAAGCAATCCAACAAGCACAGCAACTTGGATTTTTACTAATCTCCATACACCTTAATAGACTACAATAAATCTATGATATCGGTCTTTCCCACTAGAAGCTATTCTGTCATCTGCTTTTGGTTAAAACATTCCAGTCCGTTGGGCATCCCTAAATTTTGAGTAACCATACTAACATATATTTAATGTGCTGGTGGACAAAACCAAGAACTAAAGAGGACATGGAGGTGACTGTGAGTGCTAATTTGAGAACTTCACACAGCCTACAGCAAGGCTCCTGGGGACAGGCCCGGATCAATGGGCACAGAGATGAATAATTCTTTGTACTGTGGACATTCTTGACTGTGTAAGCAAACCTTCAAAACAACGAAGAACAATAAACAGAATTTACAGGAAAGAAGGGAAAAGTCCAGGATTGCTCCAGAAAGATAATGGACAGGTGCTAAAGTTTTGGGAAAATCTGTCATATTTGCATCTCGGCTCATTTCTGGCACTAGCGCTATTGTTTCAAACACATATCTGTCATAGGCAAATTTCTATCACTGCATAAACAGAACCAATTCTCAGGTTTCTATAGAATTTCCTTTCCTCTCTTTTAAAAAAGCATTCTAGACTTGAATTATAACACTGGGTACTTGCAGCTGCCACTGAAGTATTCACTGCAAAAAAAAAAAGCGACTCACAAATGGAAGATACATTTAGTCAGCTTTTCTTTTTTTTGATCTCGCTTAATATTTTATAACACATTAAAGCTTAGTAAAAGTTCCTTTCTTAAATAATTCTTCAAGCAGACGTTAAAAAGAATGCAAATGCTTTACACTTTAAATCATCAATCGTTTAAAGAATCCTCTCCATGAACTGAATAAATAAGCCATCTGTGTGACTAAGGCCTTCCTATCATGTTTTTAAGCTGACCCACTTCTTCATCAGTCACCACGGTTTGCAAAATCTCACTTCTAAGGGGCAGCACGAAATGCTCTGTGCCAGCGCAGAGTTTGAATCCAACAGGGAAAAAAGGGTAGTGCAAACATCACCTTTAAGGACGCCAGTCTTCATTTAAAATGACCTCCGCCCTTAAAAAGAGAACTTATATACCACCCTTAACCGCAAGCCACCTTTCCTCCAGTGGAAAGCAAATCAAGTCTGCAAGGTAGAAAGGCGTGAGAAACCCGATCTGGTGTGGAAATGCACGGTGCTTTTGGCCTCTGGAGATCAAACGCCTGCTCAGCAAGCAGAGTCTGGTTAGGGCTGTGGGTGCTGCCCCCAAGACCGACCTTAAATCAGGGGGTCGGGCCTGTCTTGAGAGCTCTGCAGACACGCTTTGCAGACGCGCTCAGCCGGGGCAACCGTGAGCATCCCCAGGAGCAGCCGGGCGGGGACCTCCTGGGTACCCCCTGTCCGGTTGGGGGTGGGGGCCACGGCCGGGGAAGCACAACTTTCCGCACTTCCCCGCCAGCAGAAGCAGGAGCAAAAAAAAACACTCCCTCCCACCCCTCCCGCCCCACAGACCCCGCCACAAGCTCCTCATTTTTTCTGGTGGTGGCGGCGGCTGGGGGAGGGGCGAGAGGGTCTGGAGGGACTTCAGGAGAAGATGACAAGGAGCGGTGGGAGGAGGACGACTTCCCATAAACCCGGCCGCCACAAAGAGAAAGGGGCTGCACCTCCCCTAGGTCCCACTGAGTCACCCGCGGGCCAGGCCGGCGGCGAGGATGGGCGAGGGCCGGCTGGCCGCGCGGCAGGTGACAGCGGCGTCACCGGTCCCCGCAAGGGGGCCCAGCGCCTCCCCGCCCACCCGGGGCCTCGCCTCCACCGCGCCGTTCCGCCTGCGAGCCGCGCGACCCGACCTCACCACAGGCTCAGAGCCCAACGCACCCACGCGGAGACCCCTCGAAGCGGCCGCCGAGCCCCACCCGCGCCCCCAGACCCGCGTCCGAGAGGAGCCGAGACGCTCGCGCGCCTACCCTTTGGCGTGCTCCGTCTCCTCTTCATTGTCCCCGTCTATCCCGCATGTGTCCTGGTCGTCCAGCTCCAGGCTCTGCTGGCTGGCCGCAGACTCGCTGTCCTCCGCCATAGCGGCGGCGCGAGCTGCGGCGGCGACGCTGGGGGCCGCGGGTGAGGGGGCCGGCGCGGCAGAGCGAGCAGCTCCCTCTAGTGCCGCCCGCCGTCTCCTCAGAGCCCGCGCCCGGGGCGCCCGCCCCGCCCCGCCCCGCGCAACCTGGCCCCGCCCACCGCGCTGGGGGCGGGGCTAGGGGGTCTGCTCTCAGCTCGTTGCCGGAGAGAGGAGGGGCGGAGAGGGCCAGTATAGGAGGAGGATAGTCAGGGGTCGCGGTGGTCGCGAGCCGGCGCAGGGGGCGAACCCTGGAACCCGAAGCCAGCCTGCACCTCAGCCCGGGGCCGGTCTTTGAAGGCTGCAGCCCGCACACTGCAAATCCTGCGAGTCTTCATTTTTGGATCATAGGCCACGCGATTTTAACATCTCTACATTTTAGCGAGCGCGTTTAACCGTTGCAGATTTTTGACTCAGGAGTAGGCGTGCCAAGGACAGAGATTTCCAGAAGCCTCCCCCACCCTACCTCCTTCACATACACTTTTTAAAAATTCTATCGTATAGATCTATAGCTATATTTCCAATACACTAGCAAATCAAAAAGTCAAAGCAGAGTGCTTCCTGCCTTCCTACCTCCCCGTTCTAACCAGGTTCGTAGCCGTAAAACTCTTGACGGCAAAACTCTGGAGCTGGCCCTGGTTTTGCTGGACACCATAGACAGTTGGCTTAGACCGCGACAACCATCTTGCGGGGACGGAGATGTTGCCCATGCTGGGGGTTGTGCTGGGGGACTGGACAGTTTCAAGCAGGCCACTCCGGCTTCCCCAAGTGGGGGTCATGACCTAGACCTCTAAGCAAAAATAGGTGGTTTTCTAGGCTGAAATCATCTCTTCCCGTGAATGGAGGAGGGGAAGGAGGCGCTCCGTGAATTGCCAAATAAAAGGCAGATGAAGTTCAGGCTCCTATTTGCTGTTGCCGCGTGTATACAACAGCCCTTCCTTTGCTTTTCTGTAATGGGGGGTGTTCAAGGTCCCGCCAGGCCACGGGAAGGTTTTACAAAGGCAGTGGGAAGATAGCTATCAGAAACTGCTGAAATGCGAAAAGTAAGACTAAAAAACCACCTGAAACTTTTTTGCAGAAGGTATGGGCAGCACTTTGTGGCTCTCCCCCACCTCCCCGCCCCCACAAAGGAGCCTATGCCCTTAAAATGCAATGAGGTATAAGTATCTAAACGTCAAAAATGCAGAGCGATTTCAAAGTCCACCAGCCTTTTATGACTGACTGATGTTGAGCCAGGCAAGGTTCTGTAAGAAGTGCAAAATGGGGCCAAAACACGAAGAAAACAGAATACTCTTTCACAATTGCACCTATTTCGGAGGCAGAAAGTTATATGTGGCCTCTGGCTTCAAACTTTAAGATAAAGGCAAATATAGATCAATGAGTTTCCTGCAGCTCATCCCTATGAACATGAAGTGTTGGGTAACTGTAACCTGGTTGGGTAAGCAGTAGGATCTCGACAAAGTCTATCAGATCAGTCACTATAACCTATCAAAAGGATTCTTCTAAAAGACTTTAAAAATACAAAGCAAAGGAAATTCAGCAGACACATATTTATTTGAATTTTTAAGAAGTTTTAACTAAAAACCTCTCAAAAAACAATAAGAAAACCCCAGAGAAATAAAATGAGGTCATCAAACACTAGTTAAACAGTAGCAAACAATGACAAACAGGGGACATCTGTTCCCTAGAATGGAAAGGAGTTGCCCAGGTTCAATAACGGATTGAGATATTATATACTACAAACGTTTGTCATTTCTAATCATTTGAAGGAAGACAATGTTGGCAGATAACCTTGGAGATGACCCTAAATCCTAGTGTCATGTATAAAAACTCACTATGCTTCAAAAAATATTTGCTTCTTTCCCTGGTTTAAACCCAGAGTTTGGGGGATCTTCTGGAATCTTAGATCCAAGATTTATTTGGGGGAAGACAGCTTAGTAGAGTGGCCACCAGTGTGTTAAAAGAGGCCCTTGGGAATTTCATATCCTGCCTGACTCATCTGCTGTTACAGATATAAGACCACAGTTGTATAATTGGTCTTGTTTTATTTAAACCATTGTAACTTTTGCTTTTTAAAAGAGTTGTGGTAAAATACACATAAAATTTACCATCTTAATCATTTCTAAGTGTATAGTTCAGTTGTGTTAAGTATATTCACATTATTGTGTAACCAATCTTTAGAGCTTTTTCACCTTACAAAACTGAAACTATACTGATTAAACAACTCTCCATTTCCCCTTACCCCCAGCCCCTGGCATCCACCATTCTACTTTCTGTCTCTATGAATATGACTACTCTAGGTAGGTACTTTATATAAATGGGATCATACAGTATTTGTTCTTTTGTGAGTGGCTTATTTCACTTAGCATGATGTCCTCAAAGTTCATGTATGCTGCACCTTGTATCAGAATTTCTTTCCTTTTTAAGGCTGAATAATATCTGTTGGATGGATATACCACATTTTGTTTATCCATTCATCCAATGGACACTTGGGTTGCTTCCACCTCTTGACAATGTAATTCTGCTGTGAACATGGGTGCTCAAGTATCTGTTTGTAACTGTTTTCAATTCTTCCGGGTATATACACAGAAGTGGAATTTCTGGGTCATGTGGTAATTCTATTTTTAATTTTTTGAGGAACCACCATACTGTTTCCATAGCAGCTGCACCATTTTACATTCCCGCCAACAGTTTACAAGGGTGGAGGAACCAAATCTTTCATAGTAAATGTGCCTGCCCACTGCTCCAAAGAGAGACACCATTTCTATTTTCCAAGGTTTGATATATAATTATCCTTGTAAAGATAGTCCAGAAAAAAAGAATTTGCCTTACTTGCAAGACATGGAGAAATATGAGTGGCCCATGGAGAACTGTCTCTAAATAGTAAACCTTATCTCCTCAACCCCATCACAATCTTCTTGAAGTCAGCTACCATGTCCTACTTTTCCTATAATCTATATCTGTACTGAGTTGATAGCTTGTTCCCAAAAGCTACATCCATGTCCTATCCCCCTGTGAAGGTGCCGTTATTTGAAAAAGGATATTTGCAGATATAATTAACAAGAATCTCAAGATGAGATCATCCTGGGTTACTCAGGTGAGCCTTAAATCCAATGACAGGTCTTTCCAAGAGTGAGGCAGAGAGATTAGACAGACGGAAGAGGAGAACAGTAAGTATTCAGGAGTATTAATCATTATAATGGGCTCCGGAAAAAGAAGAATTAAAGAATGCAAGTGTTGATCCTCATCCCTCCTGTGGTTGCTAGGCCACTGTGAGAAATGTAAACAATAAATGCAATGAGGTACAGGGACTTGGTAGATATTTCCATGGTTGGGGGCGGGAGAGGGGGGGGGGAACATACACATACCCCAGGAGGTAGCTGGAGTAAATATTGGGTTGTCAGAAAAGTCATGATGTATTTTGTTTATGTTTTTTGTTGGAAAAATGCAACATGACTTTTTTGACAACCCAATAGAAGGAGTCCTGGGCTATATGGTAGAAGGTCAGGGGCATTCAAGGCTCAGCCCCTAGTAGCTGCGTGATCTTTGCAAGCCTCTTAACCCTGTAGAGTGTCCATTATCTTAGCTATAAAATGAGCTGACATTATCTACCCTACCTGTCCCATGAGGTTGCTGTAAGGCTGGCCAGCTCATACAAATGGTGCACGAAAAAGTACTTCATAGATTTTCCAAGCACAACATATGCATAGATGCATAGAGTTAAGACAGGCTAGGTTTTAGATGGAGCATGACAGCACTTACATTCCAGGGAAAGACTGTCCGTTTGTCACTGTCTATTGGTTTTTCAGCCTTGTTGAAGACCAAACATTCAAGTGTTCTTGTTTAGTGGAACAGATATGACTTCACGGCTGGTATACGTTTCCTGGAGGAAGTGGGCTTTGAGAGGAATTTTGAATAAAAGGAAGACTCCTTGAATCTTCGGTAGAGAGCAGGAGCCTCCGATGACATGTCAGAGGAGAAGGAAGGACCGCTAACATCTTTTGCATAATTGGCAGGGAAAGGATCCATGTGGAACTGGGAGGTGATGTAATTAGGATAATTTGATAAAGAGTCTCAAAATCAAATGTGAATAAATTGAATCCACCGCAGAATCATCCACCAATTATGTTGTCAAGGATGCAGGTGGGAGAAATGGATTTATCTACAGTGTTCTGAACCTCTCGTGAGAAACAGCCTGGAGGCAAAACTGCCAGTTACTGTGATTTATTTCAGAGGAGAAATTAACCCAGACTGTCCCAGAGACACTAACTACAGTAGAGGGGAAAAAAACCAAGCCAAACACACACACATACAAAAATTTAAAAACAACAAAAATCCCCTAACATTTAGCAATAAGCCAGTTGCAGGAAGGAATGGGAAATTATTCAGAGGTCCCATACCTCTGAGGGAGAGTGGCAGTGCTTACTCAGGAAATCCCAGGGAAATGTGTTGGATGTTTAAATGTAGTTACTGAGCTTTCTTGTAAATACAAGGCATGATTGCATTTTAAGTTAATTCCTAGCACGCCAACCTTTGAATTTTTTATGCTTACTTTTATTTTGCATGTCAAATTGATTTAAAAAAATATCTAACACAATTCAAGAGGATGTGTCCCCGGTAAGCCCTGTTTTTATCTGGTTAACAAGTACTTACTGTGTATTTTCTCTGTAGGATGAAATAAATGTGTATTTGCTGTATGTCAGGTAGACAGCAGAGACTTTTAAATGTTTTATTTCATATTAATCTCTACAATAGCCCTGTGATGTAGGTATTCTCATTTTCCATGCAGGAATCTGAGCCTCTAAGAGGTTATATAACTTATCCAAAACAGGATCTTAGCAAATTCTTACAGCACTTAAGGCACTGTGTGGCAGTTGCCTGTTTTTTTGTTAGGGCAGACACTGTCTACACAATGTGCCAGCCTCTACCTGTCATCCGAACCCACTGGCCCATCGACATTGCAAACACCAGCTACTCACTCTTGTCGCCTCTCCCGCAGCGAGAAGTGGCACTATGCCTCCATTTTGTGAGACATACAGGTACCTCCTGGTGGCCATCAGGAAAATTTCA